AAGTCGTGTGATGCAAGGTCTAAATATCCCCTCTGAGTTTCACGCTGGAAGTTCCCAGTGACTTTGACAAGGTAGGTTCAACAGAGTTAAAGCTGAAGCCAGACTTCACAGGGGAATGGAGACAGTGGTGTCTAAACCTGGCCATGGAGAAAAGGGCAGGGGAGAGGAGGTGGGTGGGAGCAGCCACCCGAGGGATGTTGGGATGGACGTCATCTAGTTCCTCTTCCTTTCCCCCAGCTGACTTGGTGTGTTTGCATGTTGAGAAGGAAGAGCCACTTAAAAGGCAGAGTTTAAGTGTAAACAGAGAGAGATAAATGCCTATAAAGTCTCTGAAAAAGTGGGACCGATGTCTCAGGAAGAAGCTTCTCCTTGTCAGAGAACCACAGACGCCCTCCTATAAGGTCAAAGGACAGGAGATGGAGTGGGTGCAGGTGCAGAGAATTTCCCAGCATGGAATATTGCATTTGGGGTATCTCAGCTGGTAGCCTCTCTTAGTAAGTAAGAGACGTGATCTTAGAAAGACATTGCCTAGAGGACTCAGGGGAGCAGTAAGTCTTTGAGGTACCTGTTGCTGCAGTTGGGAGATAGGGAAGTTAATGGAAAGTCACCAAGCATGAGGAAGGGTTGGGAGGAAGTTAGCTCACACACACACACAAAGGATAAAACGGGATGTGGAAAGAAAGAACAGAAATAATCGGGCATGCTGAAGGAGACTGCTGGAAACAACAGAAATAGAACTTTGCGTCTTAACTAAGGTGACCAGAGGTCCCGCTTTTGGTGGGACAGTACTGATTTTTAACAATTTGTCCCACGTCCCGCAGCATTTTTAAAAAGTCCCAATTTTTGGAAAGAATGCATGACAAGCTAGGGAACACTGGAGAACAGGAAGGGAATGTATGGTTTTCAGCTGCCATGTGGCTATTTCACCAGGATATGCATTTTACATTATTTTCATTAATTTTATAATGTTAAACTTTAATAATAACAAATAATTGTTGAGAACTGATTATGGAGAACTGCTTATTAAAGTTTGCATTGTTGTCAGGCCCTGCCCCCCCAATGGTGTCCCGCTTTACCAACGTTAAAATCTGGTCACCTTAGTCTTAACTCATGTTAGTTCTTACAGTGTTGATTTAAAAAGCAGGTGCAATCGAAATATCCACCTTGAAAATGGAGGCACAATCACAGAATTAAGGGATCTCACTCACCACGGGGTGCAGTGAACATTCTCTCGGTCGCTGCTCCAACCAAGGCCAGAGCTGCTCAAAGTCAGTGAGTAGCAAGCAGAAAACTTGTCTCTAGTCCCCTTTAAAACATGGATGTATGAAGCCTTCCAGATACAGTGAACTAATTGCTACAATGATGGGCATGGGATGCCTCGGATCCAAGGCCTTTCAGTAAGGTTATTTATGCCTTTCTTTGGATTTATGCCTTTATTCTTTTTTACCTCTTTAAGAACATCCTTCCCAAATTCTAGCATTTCTAGAATAAATACATAAAGCCACATCTAGGTTGAATAGCTAGAATTCTCCTTCTATTATGTCACAAGGCTTCACATGCATATAATTTTCTTAAAGATGTCATGCCTGTCAACATTGTTAAATATGGAAATGAAAATAAAGAATATCTAGCATAAGATTCTCTGTTTTGGAGCAAATGCATGAATGGTTAAGCCATATTGTATGTATTGGAGGAACCCTCCTGAAAGTTTAAACACTCTGAATTGCAAATGTATCCTGTGTGGCTCTTAGAACAGAGGCTGAAAACACAGCTGGAATGTCACTGATGTCACCAGATGGGCCCTTCCCAGTACACACTGGAGCCAGTGAGAGTCACTGCACAACCAGAAAGGCTAATGACCCAATTGTAGTCTCAAAGATAGTTCGTAAGGTACAATTAGAGCCAGCCAAAATAATTTCCTTTCATCAGGAAATCACAGAGCGAGGTGTGTGATTTACTTTTTTTTTTTTTTTTTTTTTTTTGAGATAGAATATCACTCTGTTGCTTAGGCTAGAGTGCTGTGGCATCAGCCTAGCTCATAGCAACCTCAAACTCCTGGGTTCAAATGATCCTCCTGCCTCAGCCTCCCAAGTAGCTGGGACTACAGGCATCTGCCACAGTGTCTAATTTTTCTATTTTTAGTAGAGATGGGGTCTCACTGTATCTCAGGCTGGTCTGGAACTCCTGAGCTCAAACAATCCTCCCACCTCTGCCTCTTGGAGTAGTAGGATTGCAGGTGTGAGACACCGGGTCAGGCTGGGTGTGTGATTTAGAGGTAGAAATGAATCCATTTCAGACTGAGAGGCACCGACAGGTCAAACACAAACACATCTGAGTAAATCAAGACAACAGCTGTAGCGGATGTCATTTATCAACAGGTTATTATGAGCCCGGCACCTGCACCAGATGCTTTTTTATATACTAGCTAATTGAATTCTCATAGCTCTCAGGGACCTTATTATTATTCCCATTTTACTGAAAAGGACAATGAAGCTCAGGGAAAGTGAGGAACTTGTCTAAGGGAGCATCACACAGTGTTTACAGGTCTAGATTTTGTACAAATGTGTACGGCACCTGAGTACCTGCTCCTAAATGCTATGCTGATTACTCTGCTAATTATCACTAAAGCAAGATGTTGAGGAATTTCTCAACTTCCATGGGGTGAGGAGTTTCTGCCTTCCTGCCAAGCACTTTGGGTGTTGCAAGGAAAAGGAGACAAAATTCCCTGCCATGAATCTTGACGGCCACGTGTGGAACAGTCACCAGCCTTCACGCAGTCAGCATGAGCTCAAGTGGCATTCGCTTTGAGAAGGTATAACATGAAAGCAGAGTTTGGATGACAGCAAGGGCACTTTTCACTTCTGTCTGGGCCATGCCAGATCAGACACAAGGCAGCCTGATTCGCGTCCTACCCAAAGGCTTCCACACTCATGATGACCATGAGTCCAGTGCTTCCCCTGGATGACAAAAGACCCTCTGAAATCTTCAGCTTCCTTAACAATGACAACCTTTCAGGCAGCAGAAATGAGAGCTAAAATAATTTACATTTACTTTAGACAAATTGCCAAAATATACTTACGCTTACATTAAACATAGCCAAACACACCTACCTTTAGTTATGATTTGGAATAATTGTAAAGCAGAAGGACCTAAGTAAAAAAGCCTCAATGATGTATAAAAAAATGTTACCTGGAATTTACTATTTGAACTGTAAGGCCCTAAAAAGAATCTGCACATTTTACAAGACACCAATCCATTCATGACATAACCACTTCCCAAAGGGCTCAGCTCTTAATATCACCATAATGGGGCTTGAGTTTCAACACTTGAATATTGGGGGACATTCAGACCACAGAAGGTAGGAAATGGATCTTTGGATTTTCATCGATGAGCGTAAAATCTCAAATTAGATTTCACTGAATTGGAGTAAGCCGTTCAAAAATCACCTTGTAAAAATGTCCAAGTTGGAAACTGGGCAGCTTGGGTTAATTTAAAAATCTGTACATGCTCTGATGCTCAGTTTTAAGACTGTATTTTCCTTTAAAAAGGCTTTGTTAAGCCTAATCCGTGAACGTGAAAATAAAAATGTGGGTTTATCAATGATGAATGAGTTTAGCTTTCCTGACTTCAAACAAGCACTGGGAAACTCTATCACATTTAGAGTTTGATGGAAAGAAAATAGCATCTCCACCTCTATTTAAAAAGAACGCAGCTAAAAGCAAACTGGAACACAGTAATTAAAAAATACAGTGTTATTAAAGAGAGTGAAAGGGTTTTAGTCTTATTTAACTAAATTTGCATATAAATGAAATGTGGTCATCAGGAAAGGCCCATTAAACATCTACAGCTTGTTCAACGCTTTGTGGGATCATAACCCAAACAACTTGAAGAGGCTCATTAGGGCCCTGTGGCTATGGGTAGGGTATTCATCAACTTGGGTAATTAGTCACTTGCTCTACATATATGCTAATGAAGGAAATTTGGGGTCAGTTTTACTCAAACCACAGACTGTGTCTGAGACAGTCACCCAGTAAATATATATGACTTTGGTCACAAAGGGAGCCGATGAGGGGGTCTAGAGGGCTGAGCACTGTTGTGACTGCATTTTATATCACCTTTACAACCCATAACAGAAATAACACAATGTGGATGAAAAGAGAAACTTAGACGTTTAATTTTAAAATCTCATAGGAAGAAGATCCAAAGATCTATTTCCTACCTTCTGTGGCCCGAATGTCCCCCAATATTCAAGTGTTGAAACTCAAGCCCTGTTATGGTGATATTAAGAGCTGAGCCCTTTGGGAAGTGGTTATGTCATGAATGGATTGGTGTCTTATAAAATGGGCAGATTCTTTTTAGAGGTTTACAGTTCAAATAGTAAATTCCAGGTAACAATTTTTATACATCAGTAAAAACTATATTAAGGGTTCAGTTCAGTTAGAGAAGGTTACGGCATAAGATAGGCATTATTTTAGAACTGTTTTCACTCTTTGTGAGATTGTGAGACAAAGAGCCTATTGGCTGCTAAAATGGAGTTCTCCAGTGGAACTATCTTAAAAGCTGGGAATCAGGCTGTGTTTCATAGCCTTCTGGACCTGACTATACTATTTACAAAACACACACACATATATATAGCGTAAAGAGAATTTTCATTTGAGGGGCAAGAGAAAAACAGAGACCCATTCTTTATGCTGAGGGGAAAGTGGCTTTTTAATAACATCATTGAATAGTTCAGAGAGGGAAATGTCTTCTTTCTAGTTCATTATCATTTCCTGGCCAGTAGATTGTTTTGTAACAACAGTATAAAACAAAAATCCCAGCAGTATTGACTGATTAGTTTTCTCATGTAAAAGCTTTCATTAGGCTATTTTTCAAAGAAGAAATAAGTGTACACAGTGAAACATATCGATTATAAAGAAGCTATATATTATTTTCAGTGAAGTGAAAGGTATCTTAACAGAATAGCCAGTGGTAGAGTAGCATATCAGCCTTGGCCTTACCCTTCAATTTCAAGGCTTCTAATACCTTTGAATCGGCTGTTACATCACTCACTAGCTTGACTTCAATATTTTGCGAAGTCAGTTGGAGCAACTTTTCAAAAAGACGTTGGCCCTGGAAAAAAAAATATTCAGAGACAAAGAAAGTCAGAACGCCGGAATGTTCGCCGTTTTAAATAGGTATACATAAACTCATTAAAAATTGAAAGTTGTCATGCAAATTTTAAAAGGCAAGCACTTCAACGATTGGTATTCATGGAAGATTTATGAAATTCTTTTGGAAGAGTTGTTTCATAAACAGAGCAGTGGCACGAACACAGATCACATGATGTCTTCTTGAGTATGGCGCAATGAAACAAACATTGCAATAACAATTTCAATGCAAGTCTACTTGTCTTTCACTTTTGAAATCTATAGTTATCTACACCAGGAAGAGGCAGCAATAAAAATGAAACAGTTGCATTTTAGCCCACAGAGACCTATATTCCAGCTGGCTTTGCAGTTTGCAAACGATGTATCTTCATCTCACTAATCTCCAGTTCGTCCTTTTCAAAATATAGATAATACTAATAATTACTGCAAAAGGTATTTGCCAGATTGAAGGAGTTAATAATAAGTATCATTTAAGTATTAACTATTACAAAGGGAATCACAGGTACTAATCAGTGATGTCCATGAATTCATCTTGTTTACATTTATTTTACTGAATTCAATGAATGTAATGCCTACAAATAACTGAAGACTGAAAGAAGAACAAAGAACAAAGGCTTTCCTTGTTTTTCAAAAGCATGTAATTTTTATAAGTTTTAACCTCGGGAGACTGAATAATGACAAGTCCACGATATTACATTATCTCAGCTAACCGGATGACATTACCCTGTTGATTTTCTCTTGTGTGAGCTGACAAATTCCCTCTCCTTATCATAAAAGGGAAATGGTCTTCTTTTCTTTATTTTTCAGGTTTTTGCTCATGGATCAGAATCTCAATGCCTTCAGGGGCCAGATAGGTAAAGAGATTTTGGTCCCCATGGCCCCTAAGTGCCAAAGTCTTATCTTGCTTTGGTGAGAAGGCTGAGGGTAATGATTACATGGAGAGGGTGAGGTGGAGAGAAAGAGAGACAGGTGGACGTGAGGACGCAGAGTGTTGGTTCCTGCCACTCGGCTTGGGGAAAGAGCAAAGCAGAAGATCAAGACTTACAAGTTTCGGTGTGTTTGGAGAAGGGAGCTGGTGTGCCAATGTCTGGGGGACAGCTGACAGCAGGAAGGAATGAGTGGCACTATCCAGCAAGACTCTAGCCTAGAGCTGGGCAGCACGGCCAACATCCCATAACCTCTGGGTGTTGGAGAATGGCAGAGAAGCTACACCCCATGTGAAGCGTGGAGGCTTCCTGTCGGTCTAACTAAGCACAGAAATAAAGGTGGCCCCACGCAGAGCTCATCAAAAGCAACCAAACTCCTTTGCACCCCAGCAGCCTGGAGGCAGCCACACTCCAAACCAGGTATTTCTGTGCAGTACGTTCAGTGAATACAGTGAATGGTGAAAATCTCCTTCTTTGAAAAAGAAGGAGGGGGGAGGGGAAGAAAGACAGAGACATACAGAAAGACAGATGAGGACAGGAAAAAAAAAAACAACAGGTGCTGACTGCCGATTTCACTATCTCTACCAGTTTTCAATTTACTACGGAGAGGTGCAGGCTTGGACACTGAGGCTCAGGTACGCAGTTGGAGAGAAAGCCCACACTTGCTTGTGTTTCTTCTGTGGAGTTAACAGCAACTCCCCTTCTTTGTTCAGTTGGGCATTCCTCCAAGAAGTCCACTCTGTGAATGGTGTGGCCATGTCTGCACAGCTCAGATTTCTACAGGGCAGACTTGTGGTCATCGCATATTCATAACCCATTTACATTTTTCTCTTTTATACAGAGGAACACTGTGTGTGTTTTCTGAGGCCCCTGGTCAGTGGGCCAGTACTTCTAAACAAATTTATTTATTTTTTCCTCTTAGTTAACAGAATATATTGAGCACACATGAAAAAGAAGAGATCATCTAACCTACCTGTATTTCTGGCTCTGTGCCATAAATTGATTCCTACGCTGTTATTTTTGTGAGATTTAAAACAAAGATCAGAACTGTCAAAACATGAGTGAAAATAGAAACCCTGAAATCTATAGATACTGGTAGACGATCATTAAACAAAGTTTATTTTTACTTTTGGTATGTGCTGATTACTTATGCCAAAGAATCCTAAAATTTTTAATTGCAGTGCTCACTGTCACGAACGTGGGCTTGAGTAGAACTTCCATACCTGGCCTTGAGGTAGAACTTTTTTTTTTTTGAGACAGAGTCTCAAGCTGTTGCCCTGGGTAAAGTGCTGTGGTGTCATAGTTCACAACAACCTCCAACTCTTGGGCTCAAGTGACCCTCTTGCCTCAGTTTTTCTATTTTCAGTAGAGATGGGGGTCTTGCTTTTGCTCAGGCTGGTTGAGGTGAGAATTATTAACTTTCTCAGATTCAGTGGGTCATCCCCTTCTATAGTCATTTTTGTCAGGACAATCAAAAATGTAATACTTTCCAAAGATATTTTAAACACCTACCCTATGCCAAGTTCTGCAGTAAGGCCTAGTGCTTTTTGAGTTAAATTCACTCATCACTTTTTTAAATCAAAGGAATAACAAAATCCCGTTGGCTTTTAAACATCAGTGGTTTAAAACCTTGCCCTTTTTTGGTGAAAAGCATTACCCAACATTTCAATCTTAAATAAATCATCTCCAAGATAGTGTCTCAGGAATGTTGAACTACTTTAAGCCAATTTTTAATGAAATCTGCTAAAACCTTATCCTGGACAGTGCTACAGAGGAAGCTGTGCCCCTAGGATGGAGATTTAGTTCAGCCCCTGTGACTTTGAAGAGGCTGCTTAATGCCGGAGGCCCTTCTGATTTTGTAGGGAAGGAAAGAAACCTATTTCCCTAACCACATCCCAGGTTCCTTGCCTGGATTCATGAATCAAATGGGTAAGAAAACTAACAAGAGAAAACCAAAGTTTTAATTACATACATACAAAGTTTTTTGTTTGTTTGTTTTTCTTTTCAGACAGAGTCTCAAGCTGTCACCTTGGTAGAGTACCTTGGCATCACAGCTCACAGCAACTTCAAACCCTTGGGCTTAAGCAATTCTCTTGCCTCAGCCTCCTGAGTAGCTGGGACAACAGGCTCCTGCCACAATGCCCGGCTATATTTTGTTGTTGTTGCAGTTGTCATTGTTGTTTAGCAGGCCCAGGCTGGGTTTGAATCTGCCAGCCTCACCGTATATGGCCTGTGCCCTACCCACTGAGCTATGGGTGCTGCCCCATACAAAGTTTTAATTACACACACACAAGGGATCTTCACAAAGGAATGAGACTCAGGGAGGTGGCCAGATGACTGTGGCTAAGGTACCATCTTAGGCTGAACAAAGATTCTTTACTTACTTTTGTAAATTATTACATTTTGATTGTCCTAACAAAAATGACTGGCTGGAGAGATAACACACTGAAGGTGAGAGATTTAATAGACATTCCATCTCAAGACCCAGCACAGAAGGTCTACCTTCTGGGTGGGGAAGTTAAGTTATGGTTCCCATGTGGGAAAAGGAAAAAATGTATGAAAAAAAAAGAGTTGCCTTAATGTGCAAATGAAAATCTTTCAAGGCTCAGTGCCTGTAGCTCAAGCGACTAAGGCGCCAGCCACATATACCAGAGCTGGCAGGTTCTTATCCAGCCCGGGTCCACCAAACGACAATGATAACTATAACCAAAAAATAGCCGGGCATTGTGGCAGGTGCCTGTGGTCCTAGCTACTTGGGAGGCTGAGGCAAGA